ATGTCTTCGTTACGAAACGTATAACAGCTTCATCGCCTTGTGGAAATCTTTCTTTCTTAAACCCAGTAAAATGTTTGTTACACTGCTCGAAAATATAGAATTGCGCTTAATTCTCCAATAACGAACATTTACTTGACTAATATCAAAATGTCGACCCGCAGCTCTATTTCCATGTTCTTCTGCAAACAGTAACTTTTCGTTTCAATGCGGTCTCGTAGTGTAATTCTTCCCAAAATATTTTCATGCGCAATAAGGGATCAAAATTTAACGAAATATAGTAATTCAACCCCTTACGTATTTTCGAAGACTGAACCAAAACTTCTTAGTTGTCGATGAGCGAGCTACGTTATAACGAAATAACGGTGGTTTCCCATTTGAAAAAGACTTGAACTCTCCACAGAATTGGAAAATGCGATAAAGGTCAAACTTGGAGGCAGGGTTTCTGCGTGTGGTGCCATAGGCAAACCGCAGAAAATTTCGAAAAAAACTTCGACTCCAAGACGCATCCCGTTTTTACAGCCGCTTATATGGGAAAAAGTGCGTCTTTGAATCGAAGAAATACGGTAATAAAATTTAACAAGCAAATTTTTAGGAAATGTCACATATTCACTGTGGTATGGTCATAAGTTAATAAACGAAATCAGTATACTACGGACATAACATTACAATCACCGAAAGGGCCTTCTGAAATTACAGATTAACAAATCGTGTATTCCGCAGGTGTTCTTCAAACGATTTCAATGGTGTGTAGATCAGCGAACGTGGCTGTATTAGAACAAGTGGCCGGACACCAAAACTGACACTTGAACAGGATCCGTGAGGCAGGCGAAATATGGCGTAACTGTAAACGTTCGTTATACATCTACAATGCGCTAAAATACTTAGGTGGTGGCAATGTAGTTCTACTAATTTTTCCTTTCCACATTAAATGTCATTTATATACCTCCTGAAAGCGAAGCTTTGCGTTTAAGTAACGTTGCGTCGGTATCGACTAAAATACGCATCGTACACCATGGCGAAACAAAATAGAAGAGTCCACTTTGACGGCCACAACAGTCGCGATGGTCAACAAGGCAGTAAGGCTAAAACATCTATTTGTCTCGAAAGGAAGTTTCACTAGAAGGGACTCTAATAACAAACTCAGAGGAAGGATGGATGTGCATTCTTATTAACAATTAAAAAAGGATCATTAAATTTTTTCATCCTGTGTCATTCCGTGAATCAAAAAAACCACGAGTTCGAGCCCGGTCAGACTCATCTACATTTCGTGTGAGGTAGATGAATGGGGCATTATATGGGAAGTGAACAGGCGACTACACGCGATGACGGTCACAGTGCATGTAGAAACTTCAAAAGAAACAACGACCTAAATACGGTAAAAGAAGAGTACTATGAACAACGACCCAGCATGAATAACATAATCTCTTATTAACTGCTAATTTCACTTGGCACAGCTTCACCCCAATATGTTTCGATGCAATCAGCCGAAGAATAGGTAGCAGATCGTTGACCTGCGAATAAAGTGGACAACATGGTGCTTTGGTGAGGCCATGCCAAGGTTCGTGAGGCATACGCGATATGATACCTGCGCATTAACGCTGTCATTCACTTTGAACCTCCTGATAGCAAAAAAATAATTAGCACAAGGCATAAGCTTAAATTTAAAAAATTGTTACAAAGCAACCCGTCAAGGAAGTGCTCTCCAGTAAGATTTTAAATTTTGCTGACATCTTAAAAACTGTTCGTCTGGCGTCCTCACTCTCTCAGCTGAAAGAGTCACTTTAATTGGAAAATGCGTGTCGTACTTTTCAATCACTTCACGACGTGCTCCTTTCATCATACCAAGCTAGCTCTCCAAAAGTTTGCAATGTCCGACGGCGTTGAACAAGGGTAAAACATCAGGTAATTCTGAAACTCCTCAAGCTCTATCGTAGTAGAACCGTCAGCGTCCATTCTAAATATGAACAAGTGCAAAAGTTACCGAAAATTAAGCATATGCGACAGATTATGCATAACGTGACAGTTATGCATATTAAGCATAACATATGCGACAGACTCGAATTCTGACAATACTCAATAACAGGTAAGATTCTTCGCATAATTTATGCACCATATTCTGACTGTAAATAAACGAAGTCACAAACTGTTAGACATGGTAGTGTTATATTCTCTCTACTCTTCAGATAGCAAATCATATTTTACGAAAAAGCGCTGAATGGCACTGTGACGATCGTTTCCAGATGGAACGGAAGGTAATCACAAGGAATCTGGCAAAATAATTTACAATCTGGACAATGTAGCTGATACTGTATTACTGGGCGACAGCAGCGACGGTTTCACTCATTAGTTGCAGCGGTATGTAAAACTGCAGGGAAAATGAATCTAAAGCTAACCCCATGAAGATAAAGGTGATGAGGCACGCAGATGGAGCAGTGGAATCAGAAGTAGCGCCAATGAAGAAGTATAGCCATCCAAACACTTGGGCACCGTCATCTTCAATGACGGTAACTATTATCACGACTTAAATGAGAGCACTGGCTGGTTTCATTTGCTTTCAAACAGCTCTTGAAACAGTGAGATGGAAACGTGAAAAAACAATCGCCAATGCACGCTGAAAAAGATGAGTTGGCACGACCGCATTAGGAACGACCATGCTTTGGCGTTAGCCGACCTAACAGACATCTCAGAGGTGCACGGACAGAAGACTGGTAGGGCTTGATCATCCGCAAAGAAGTTCACTGTCTTAAGTGCTGACGTAGATGCTGAAAAAAGACCGAAAAACAGACCGGTGGACAGCACTTCACGTACCAAAGAAGCTAAACGGAGATCTATTGTCGAAGAGAAATCGTTTCTTTGTCAACGCTGTGATCAGCGCCTAATATCAAAACGCGAAATACTGAGATGAGCGGATGTCATAAATCTTAAGCGGCAAAAGATGATACTGACAAAACAACAAGAAGCAACATTTATAGCAGCTAAGCAATTTCTAAAATCGTTATCCCAATGCTGATACACGGTATAATCATCAATCCGCGCTAAATCACAGCTAACACATATACGAAGCGAACATGTTTCGCCTCTACAGCAACTGCAACTCTTGTAACTGAAAAATGTATAGTGCTTGGTTTTGAAAGCAAAATCGACATCCGCTTACCAAATCTTTCTTCTCATTCTCACGCATTCAAAGAATTCTACAGAATACAAAACGGCAAAACAGATTCGGCCGTTTCATCAGGCCTTTAGAACTAAAACGAAGAACAACTAACTCACTTTCTAATTATTCTATCCACTTCGTTATCGCTAATCGGCAGGTTCAGTTCCGCGAAATAGCTTTTGATTTCCTTGGAATCGAGTTGTCCTACAATCACAAATCATCAACACAACAACACTACGCACTTCAGCCACAATATGACAACGTATCAAACATAATCATAGAGAAATCCGCTACTACATACGAGCAGTAACGAGAATCGAGCTTCTTATTCCATGTGATGTTTGTTTCTTGTACCGTTTGCAATTCTTCAATCCGGTAATTGAGGAACATTGAGGAACTCCTTAGCTTCGAGCAACCGCAGCAAGACTCGCCCGTAGAGCAGCGGTGAACGGATTACAAACCCCGTAGATGAAATGACACAAGCTGTGAAAAGTTTCAAAAATGGACAGGCTGCTGGAATTGATAAAATCGGGCCTGAAATGCTCAAGGCATTAGATGAACAAGGCATGTGCTGCCTTACATGTGCCTGTCACACTGCCATGACCACGGGGAAGACAACAGCGGACTGGAAAACGGGAGTTGCTGTATACTCCAATTCAAGAAGGGAGATCAAATGGAGTGCTCCAATTATAGGGGCATAACGTTATTCAGCCTCCCAGGTAAAGTCTACGGAAAGGTGCTAGAAAAAAGGTGCCGCGGAATAACTGACTACAAGATACAACAAAAGCAGTGCGGCTTCCGGTCCGGTCGATGCACCTGTGACCATATATTTGCCCTGGGCCAGACTGTTGAGAAATCGTAGAAGAACGCCTGTCCGGTGTACATGTGTTTTGTTGACCTAGAAAACGATTATGACCGAATCCAGCGCAACAGTCTGGCGTCATGCCTGCGAGCATACGAGATAGATGGCCAGCTGCTAAGAACCATTTACTCATTGTATTCCGATAATAGATGCTACTTCAGAGTAAATGGCTTTAAGTTAAAGCCTTTCAACGTTGGCACTGGTCTCCGACGAGGCTGCATCCACTCCCCTCTCCTATTTGTCTTGTACATGGATAGAATATTCAGGAGCAGCCAGGGCGATGAGAGTATCCGTGTAGGTGATCTGCAGGTTACAAGACTGCTGTTTGCAGACGACCTTGTTTTATTGGCATCTTCTGAAATTGATCTACAGTGCTCCCGAGAAAGGTTCGCAGCCGAGTGCGACTGGACCGGCATGCGTGTGAACGCATCGAAAACGAAAAGTGTAGTGATTTCTCATTCTCCAGTCCGTTGTTCTCTTCAGATTAACGTAGAGGCAGTGGAGCAGGTGGAGAATTTCATGTACCTCCAAGTCGTATTTACTATAGTGGAAAATATGAAGAAAAGTTCGACTGGGAGAGCTGGAGTAGCCAGTCGCGTTCTGTGTGAATTAGCCCTAGCTATTATGACTGAAGCAGAGTTAAGTGTGAAAACTAAGCTCTCGGTATTCAATTCGATTTTTATTCCCATGCTTACATATGGTCATGATTCTTGGACGATGACTGAAAAGCTTCGAACTCCGGTATAAGCGGTTGAAATAGGCTTTCTGAGACAAGTCGCTGGCCTTACGCGAGTCGACCTGGGCGAAATACAGACATCCAGGAGAGCCTTGTAAAGCTTCTGCTTCTCGAGACTGAGAAGTCACAGCTGCGATGGTTTGAGCATGTGTAACGAATGCCTTCAGAAAGGAAGGCCAAGAAACTGTATCATGCCAAACCGACCGGCATAAGGCCCAGAGAAAGGCCAAGATTAACCTGTGCAAATATATGGAAGGAGCCTGTTCCAGACTCCAGTGGTATGCTACCGAAGCTCAGACTCTGGCGCAGGATCGGGA